ATAAGGGAATGGTCGATTGCCACTCTCAGTTTCCGGAGAATCGAGGAATACAATCTAAAGGTATGATGAGCAAGACTCAATTCTCACGACTAGAATTGAGTTTCGCAAAAACCTTTGGCTAAGTGAAATTTTCGGTAAGCATGAATTGCATCATACTTAGCATTTTGAAAAGAAAAATAATTAAAGAAAAAAAAATTGGACATGAAAGAAAAACAGAACTTCAATAATAAACCAAGGAAAAATAAACTCTAATATGAGTTTCAACTGTTGAACCTAAGGGGTATTTATAATCCGAGAGTTCTAAGCAAATAAAATAACTAATTACTAAATAAAATAATCAAACTAAAAATCCTCATAAGAGTTCTAATAAAAGAACTAATATCTAAATAAAATAATAATTAAATAATCAAACTAAAAACCTAAATTTACAACGTTTATCACAAAAGATAAAAATAAATATTTAAGTCTTGTACTCTTGTTGAATTCTGCTTCATCTTTTGGATAACATTGTCCTAGATAAATGCTAAATTAAATATTCAAAATAATTATGCCCGTCTTCTAGAAGATGCTAATGGACCGTCAAAATCTACTCGGTTTTTTGGCTAATTAATCCAATGAGGCACCTATTCAAAATAAATTCAAAATAGAGGTAAATAAGTAATATCCAAGTGATAAATGTGAGATAAATAATAATAATAATAATAATAATAATAATAATAATAATACAATATTAAACTCCTATCATAAATGTACCAAAGAGAGTTTAAGCAAAGAAAATAATAAGATATATCTATCTATCTATCTAAATAACAAATTATTAATATAATATATATATATATATATATATTATAGTTTGTCAGCATGAACCAAATGATTTTAGCGGTTGAAGGAATGATTGTTATCATTAGAAGTTTTGAGTTTGAGCACTAGCGATTGTCAAGCATTTGAGCATTCATTGTCAAATGATTTAGTCTTTAGAACAGATTCTACCACTTGTAATCACCTAAATTAATAAAAAAAAAACTATAGGTTGTTGTACTCATTATATTGGTAAACAAAAATATTTTATGTAAAAATATATTTATAAAAATTATTTTAACAGATGATTATGGATGGAGTGATGAATATTTTTTCATTTGTATGGATATTTCGAAGAAGATATTAATTTCCATGAAGGTTTTTAAATCCCAAATATTATCAAATCTAAATCCAAAAAATGTACATCGAATATTAGAACAAGGTTCTAGTAGCCTAAATCCCTTACTCAAATCCCACTTAAATAAATATTTCTATAGTTCTTCATAATTTTATTTAATACATTTGATCCCACCATAAAATATAAAAATGAAAGTTTAAGATATGAGATAAGATCATGTGACACAATGTAAAATTATTTAAGTTTTACACGGAATTAAGACTATTGAATGAATGAAAACATATGGTTGAGATTAAAAGAAGGAAATGTGAAGATATATACTAAACAAAATGAGTCAATCTCAACCATCTATTTTCACTTATCCAACGATCATAAATATGTGTAAAATTAAAAGTTTTACATTGTGTAAGTGGATCCTAACCTTTAAAATATTATTTATTTAATCCTAACAAATATTTTAGTATTTTATGTTATTAAAATTATTTGTATATTTTTAAAAATACAATGATATCATATTGATTATTTTTATTGGATAACCTAAATGATAGTGATAGTACTTTTTATTTTTTATTTGTATTATTTTGATCACTGGTTTTAAAAAAGTTACATTTTGATCACTTTTATTTTTTATCTGTCCTATTTTGGTCACTAAGTCATTAAAATATGTTAGGTAGATGCCATTACATGTTAGTAAAATATTTAAATTTTAACTTGACTCTTGAATTTTAGATAAAATATTAACTTGACCTTAAACTTGAGATAAAATGTTAATTTGACCATTGAATTTGTATAAAATATCAATCTGACTCATGAACCCAATCAAAGCCTGTAGCCACCAGCTAGCGCTCACCACCATCTCTGGTCATCATCGATTGACGTCACCATCACCACCAATCGCTATTGTCAATGAACGTTGGACTACAAAATTTTCAATTCACTCATTTTAACCTCATGAACGTGAATTTGATGTCCGTTTACAAAATCAAAATACTCTAAGCTCCACAAATATAATATATTATGCTTCAAATTCCTTTAAAAATAAATCATAATAATAAATTTATTATTATATTCCTTTTAAAAATAAGGAGAACGAAAATCTAAATATATATCGTAATATGCTTATATTTTTATAATGATACTAATTTAATTTATATAAATTCCGATAAATTGTATATCACCTGCAGTTTGTATTTATTTTTTAATATTTTGTGTATTATATAAGATATTTCAGGTGCGATTTATGCCTTCTCTAAATTAAAATATAAAATTCTATAAAATAATTTTTATTATAATTTGTATTAACCAATAAATAAAATATTTTCAATCATTTAATTCAGAGAACACATAAGATTTTATTTAATAGATGATAAATTTTGAGCAGTGCACCATCCCCAACACTTCCCTCGATCCATCCATGATTGAATTTAATTCACTTATCAATTGTTGAAATATGAAAAAAAAAGTTTCATAAAATTTAAATTATATTTAAAATTTAGGTAAATTACACGCATACTCACTAAATTTTAATGTCTCTTCTATTTCGCTTATTGTATTTTCAATTTTTTCAATTTATTCAATTTATTCACTGAACTTTAAATATTAAATTTTTTTAGTCACTTTATCGTTAAATAATTAACGGTGTCCATGACGCGGTGAACTGCTAAAATATTAAGCATGAGAGAGAGACGTGGCTATCTCTTTCTTCTTCTTCAAGGTTGGTTGACTCTCTCCTTCTTCAAGGATGGTTCACTTTTTACAAACCAAGAATAAAAATGGAACAAAGAAACATATCACGTTCACACAAGTCTGGTTTGGCCACCAACAATGATGAAGACATTGTTGCCACTGCAAACAATTCCAAGAAGAAATTACAACAGAGAAAGAAAAAAAGTCTAGAAATGGCGTTTATTTTCTTTGCTTTGTAGGTCTTCTCTCTAATGGAAACATGTGTTGTTCTTGCTCTTTGAACCTCTATATGTGCTTTGATTTCATTGAAAAGTGGCTTCTGGAACACTCGAAAGCTTCCCTATGTACTGTTGGAAGGGTAAACAAATTCAAGGAGGCAACACTTTTCCAAGATTATCACGGCTTGCCTAAATTCAGAAAAGTATGCCATATCTGCATATATATATATATATATATATGATCTTTTAATAACCCTAACTCCTCTTCTTTTCCTCAATTATTCCCCAATTTAATGCTTCAAAGTTACTAAAATTCCCCAAAGCAAAGTAAAAAGGTAAAAGAATTTCATATCAGTTAAAACACTTCCCCTCAAACACGTTTAAACAGTACATGTTTCATCAGATTTATAACATTCAAATGACTTGAAGAACAAATAAAGGGAATAAAAAAACTCAGAAGCTGACCAAAAAGAGATCGAGCTCATCAATTGTATGATCCCTTTAAATGAAGTATTAAGCAAAGATTGAGTAAATGGAAAAGTCGGATATAAAAAGCTTTACCTTCATCAACTGTTTCTTGAGAAACGACTAGAAGAAAAACAAAAATAGGAAGCCAAGCCCTAGGTAAAAAGATAAAAAAAAACCCTCAAATTTTTCTCATGAAACAAATAGAAGTCAAAAAGAAGAAAGTGAGCTGAGGAAAACTGGACACAACTGGAAAAGAGTAGAAAGGTAATGTGGGGCTAAGTTGAAAAGAAAATAAACGAAGGGGAGGGAGAGAGATGATTGAGGGAGTAAATGTGGAAAAGAATGGAATAAATATTAATATTTAAATCATATGTGGCAGATTATAATATTATAATAAACCATGTAATCACAATGTTAATGAGATAACAGTTGAGTGAATAAAAAAGTTCAATGTCTAAAATTTAGTAAGCAAATTAAAAAATTTAAAAGTACAATGAGTGAAATAGGAGAGAGTAAAGTTTAGTGAGTAAGCATGTAATTTATCCTTAAAATTTTAACTTTTAAAAGAAAAAAAGACTCAAACTATTATATCTTATTCAACATGTTAGCATCCAACTCAAATTATCATCACTTTTATAACTAAAATGGACGAGTTTGGAACATATGAATAATCAAAAGACTATTTTGTAACTTTTAATAGTTGAGGGACTTATAAAAGCAATGTCTTATAACTGTGGAACCATTTTTAAAATTTTAATAATCAAGAGACTTAATAAAATAACACCATAGAATAGAAAAATCATTTATGTATTTTACCCTATAATAATTTATTTAAATAAAATAATCATAAATACTAACATTTTAAAAATCTCTAAAATCTAAATTTTTTCATATGGACACAATGGTTGTTTGGTGTTCAATTCATAATTATATTAGTTTAATTTTTTAATAATTTGGATGATTATAATATAATATTTTTTTTTAAAAAAAATATTAATTTATTAACAAGATATTTTTGTGCACACACCTTACAAATACATAATTATTCAAATCTAAAAATTATAAGAAAAATAACATTTTCTTTAATCATTAAATAACTTGATTATTTTAAAAATAAAATAACTTTAATAACTTTGTAATTGAATTGATCTCTATTGACTTACCACAAATTTAATCGATTATTTTATATATAATATAAATAGATTATTGTATAATTATGTAAATATTAAACTCATTAAGTGGTTTAATGATTAAAGTGAATGCTATTTTTTTAAAAATTTAAATTCAAGTTACTATATATCTAAATGTTATTTTATAATCATTTTAAAGTATTAAAAAAATTATGTAAATAATTTTTATTTTTAAAGTACTTATGAAAACGGTGTCGTTTTCCTCAGGAAATAATCGAAGAAGAAAGATAAAGGAACAAAAATATTGCAACCAGTCAGCTCTCTCTCTCTCTGTCCCTCTCCCTCTCCCTCTCCCTCTCCCTCTCCCTCTCCCTCTCACTCTCACTCTCCCTCTCACTCTCACTCTCTTTCTGAGTTCTGAATCTAAAACGACATACTGGAATGCAGGATCCGCCAAGTATCAAGCCAAACCCTGATCCACAACTCCCCTCCAATGTACCCTCCACCACCCAAGCACTGCCCACTTTCCCTAACCCCACCACTTTCCGAGGCTCTTATCACCGGCGAGCCCAGTCCGAAGTTCAATTCCGGATCCCCGACGACCTGGATCTCGCCTCCGACCCCTTTGAAGCAATTGGGTCCGAAGACAACTTGTTCTGCAGCTACATGGACATCGAGAAGCTGGGCGGATCATCTAAGGGACTCGACGACGGTTCTGGCGCTGCCGGGTCTTCCAGTGCTGGATCGGGTCATAAGCCCAAGGGAGAAGAAATGAGTGGCCGGTCGGGGATGAGGGAGAAGATTAATGAAGGGGGAAAGGGAAGGCATAGGTATAGTAATTCAGTTGATGGTTGTTCGCTAATGGAGTCGATTGAAGCTAAGAAAGCTATGGCTCCTGATAAGCTTGCTGAATTGTGGACTGTTGACCCTAAGAGAGCCAAAAGGTTTGGGATTTTACTTCTTCGTTTCTTCCACGTTTTTGGGGTTATTTTTAGTGAATTTGTTTTTGGGTACTCGTGGAATTGTAGAGGCAACTGTAAGCTTGTAACTTTTGGTGTAAAGTTTGTGTTTTGTTTGTTTTCTGCAAATTACTGGGGAAAGTTATTATAAGAAATGAATATCTTTATGAAGTTAGTGATTTTTATTTGTTTTCTTTTTGGTTGGTTATATATATATATATATATATATATATATATATATATATATATATATATATATATATATATATATATATATATATATATATTCAAATTTTCGTGGCCGAACCAAATTACCTCAGTCGTCAAAGTGATTGTTATTATCTCTAGAAATATTATCTTGTAATCACCAAATATTAATAAAAAAAATTCGAGGCTGTTATGATTGTTTTGTTTAAATGTTGTTTTCTTTCCTTTTATCGTAGTGGTGAAGTTGACTCTCTGTTTCTCTTCTTTCTTTCGTGGACATGGAAATTTATATTGTTTTGGGAGGGTGGAATTTGAAAGAAACTGATTCATAAAAAATATTCATTTTTATGTAACTTATACTTGATGTCAATTGTGAGTTTTAACTAATTTTAGGTGTTCTTTTATGGATCATTCATGCTTCTTAGCTCATTATCATGGAAAATATGGTTGTTATTGTTGACAATCTTTTTGTTAGTAATGTAGTGTTTATTCTTACTGTTTTCATCTTTGAAGGATGGAGTTTTGTTATTTTCGGAAATTCAGTTTAGGAGAAGTTCTTGAAAGTAGCTTCTTTCTATGAAAAATTCAGGTGCATTGTAAGTTGTATTCTATTTATGCTTGTCTTCTATGGTTTATGCGTTTTTGGCTTCTTTCTTTTTTCCTTTACGAGGATAATGCATTGCAATTATTTTTCCGACATCCTGGGTCTCTTGTTTTGTACCCTGATTAGGAGATAACTTCCTGAAAATTTGAAGAATAAGTACTGAACGGAATATTGGTATTAGTTAATTATATCTGAATTTCCATTACAGAATCTCCATGTCAAATTGCTAAATACATCTCGGGTCTCTTGTTCACCGTCTAATGTTGTAACACCATGGGTAGGAAATATATTGTTAAGGTATCACTGAAAATTTGCATCATAACAAAATTCTGCTCTAATTGATCTTCACACTCTTTGCCTTAAATGGTTTTCTGATTTTTTTTCTCGTAGTTTTATCCTGCTCTTCTTAAAACTTGAGGGCAAGTTTTAATAATACTGTTATCATTCCGCACCCTGCCTTTTAAAAATTCAGAATGTGCCTTTTAAAAATTCAGAATGTGCATGAATGGATTTGTAAAGATCATATGATTACAGGTTTTCTATTTTTAGGATGTTATGACCTTTTCCCGTTCGTTATTTGTAGTAATTGAGTTCCTCTAAACTCGATTCTGTTTATTTATACATTATTGAAGAGGTTTGTCTCATATTGTTTCGTGAGATTTGGGTTTGCATCCAAGCTTCTGCTAAGATTGTTCATAAATTGTGTAGGATCATTGCAAATCGGCAGTCAGCTGCTCGCTCGAAAGAGAGAAAAGCTCGATACATATCTGAACTGGAGAGAAAAGTCCAAACACTTCAAACAGAAGCTACTACTCTTTCTGCACAACTAACCCTTTTCCAGGTTTTTGCAAAAAAGAAAAAAAAAACTCTCATTGCATAAATTTGGAGTTTGTTTGAGTTAACCATTTGCATTCCTCCGTCTGAGAATTTCAACTCTACATATTAGACAATCAATATTTGGCTTTTCTACTTTCTAATATATCAAAAGCTTTTTGCAATCGGAGCTTTAATTCTTCTTGGCTCGTTCTATTATAGTGTACATGTTTAAATATGCTTCTAATTCTCAGTTAAAGCCTTACTTTTGGATATGTTCTATGCTATGTTGCTTTTATCCTTCTTTATTGATAATATTGGAATATTTAACGGCCTTACTTTTTGTGTTCTATTCTAGAGAGATACAATTGGCTTGACTAGTGAGAACACCGAGCTTAAGCTTCGGCTACAAGCTATGGAACAGCAGGCTCAGCTGCGGGATGGTACGTTTTGTCCAAACTATTTTAATTACTGAATTCTCTCCAAGATGGTGTACTTTAGCAGATACTTAGCTTGTCTACGAATATGTTTGTATGCTGAGGTGTTTTCTTTTACAGCATACAGTTGATGATGAGAAGCAAAACAAACTTGCATGAAACTGGCCAAACCCAGCGATTTGCATTCTAGGTGTTCTTCAAATTTATTTTAGAGTTCAATCTTTGGGTACTATTAGCGATTGTTCATATGGAATGGAGCCATTCAGTCATGTTTTGTATCTTGTGCCTGCTATTTCGTCAAATAAATTACTTCAGAAAGTTGTAATTACATATAGTTTTTCTCATTGTTCGTTTCTTACTACAGTTCTAAATGAAGCACTAAAGAAGGAAGTAGAGAAGCTCAAGATGGCTACGGGAGAAATGTCGACACCCGCAGATAACTTTAATTTAGCAATGCACCATATGCCGTTCACCCAGTCTTCTTTCTTTCCTCCCCAGCCACGGCAAGTTGAATCCCAAAATATGCCAATGCCATCATTTCATTCCTTGCAATCTAACATGTTGACACCTAATCAGCCCGTGGTAGGTGCCTCCAGCTCGCATGCCTTTGCTGATATGATTCAACAGGATCCCCTTGGCCGATTGCAGGGTCTTGATATCAGTAGCCGAGATAAGCACTTAGTGAAATCTGAAGGCCCTTCAATATCTTCCGGTGAAAGTAGTGGAACGCTGTGATACAGATTTCGCTGATCTACATCGTGCCCTGTCCTATATGTTGGGTTGTTCATAGATTGACCTTATTGACATCAAAAGGTACTGTTCGTTTGAATTCATAAGTTTTAATGTGATTGCGAATTTAGTTTTCTCGGTAGCTTTGCTAGTTCTTCAGTCATTCAAGATTTTTTCCTTGTTGCATTCAACTCAAATTTTTTCGGAGTAATGATGTGGGAGTAGAAGTTTGGTCCTAGGAGTAGATTAATGGAGCATCTCGAATCAGCTGCTGCCATTTCTTTTGTCTTTTAAGTATTGTTTAAACATTAAAGTTGTATTTCTGGTGTATTTCTTCAAAAATGGTGGTTTTTGTTTCAGTCTAGGACTCTCCCTCTCTAGATAAGTAGCGGCTGTCGGATTGCGGTTCATTGAGTTTACTGTTTTTTCATTTTCTGGCTCATTTGAACCTTAGTCTTAGCTGCTGGTTTGGAAATTATTAAATGGTTCTCCATACTTCAAAGGATCATTTTGAAAAATAGTCCTAGTAGTCCTAGTAGAGATTAAAGCTTCCATGTAGAAGAGATTATTAAATGTCACTCATGCAGTGATTGGAAGGAAAAACTCCATGTTCAACTGTCACATCTCCGTTTCTCCACTCGTATGAACGAGAGTCCCACATCGAGAGGCCGTCATTCACCTCCTATGCATAGGTACTGCTACCGCGTCTCGCGGACGACTTGTGGCTATATCTTCTTGATAATATATATCATGGTTGGTTTTAAATTTGGTCATTGCATTGCTTGAAAAGATATGGCTCCTCCTAATGGTAAGCATGAACATCTCTCATGAATTTTGTTCATTGGTAATTAAGATCAATTATCAGCAATCCGCTTGCCAAATAATTGACAAAGTCCACGTACCAAGGCATGACTTCCACAGCAAGTAGTCGCTCCTTGGGAAATGTATCTGAAATTGCTAGCATTTTTATATCTTTATTGCCAACTTTTAACCTTGATAAATGATCATCCACTTGATTCTCGAATTCTTTCTTATCTCTTATTTCAATGTCAAACTCTTGAAGTAACAATACCCATCTCATTAGCCTCGACTTAGTGTCTTTCTTGAAAAACAAATGATTCAATGCTGAATAATCATTGTAAATAATCACTTTTGTCTCAACCAAGTAGGATCGTAATTTATCAAAAACAAAAACCACAACAAGCTTTTTTTCCCGATTTTGATGCAAGTGATCTCGACAATATTCAAAGTTTGACAAGCATAATGTATAGCATGGAACACTTTTTCTCGTCTTTTCCCCCCAACAACTTGATCATTAGCATCACGCATAAGCTCAAATGGACATTTCCAATTTGGTGCTACTACTATCGGAGCAGTGACTAATTTCAGTTTGATTGTTTCAAAGGACTTCATTACTTTCATTATCATCCACAAATTTCCTATTTTGCTATTGCAATGTGCATAATAATCTAGCAATTTAGGAAAAATCCTTGATGAATCTTCGATAAAAGTCAGCATGCCCTAAGAATCTCCTAACTAATTTGACATTGGTGGAAGGTGGCAGCTTCTCAATAACCTCCACTTTGGCTTTGTCTACTTCAATGCCACGACTGGAGATGCAATGCCCAACACTATATATTTAGTTACCATGAAGTGACATTTTTTCTAATTCAAAACCAAATGAGAAAATAACTTCAGTGACTGAAAATGCCTTATAATATACGATTTTAACCAACTTTTTTTGGATTTGTGAAAATGACCAACACGTAATGCGAACTCCAATTTCGCAACTTAGTTTCCAAATTCGCGTATTCGCAACATAGAAGTTAAATTCGCAACACATAAGTCAAATTCCCAAAGTGCGTTTATTTTCGCAATGCGAATTTTATTTTCGAATTCGAAACACAATATTAATTTCGCAACACAAATGTAAACAATATAATCGTAAATCATAACCTAAAACCCTAAATCACAACTCAGTCCCATTTCCATCTCTCACTCTCTACGACGACATCTGTCCCCATCTCCGGTGAAATCCGTCTATCTCCATCTCTCAGAGCCACACTCACAACCATTCACGGTCAGAAATGGAAAATCAACCACCGAGGGTTAGTTTTTTTTAATTATTTTTATTTTGAAATTTTTGTATTATTATTAGATTTTTCATATTTAAATTGATGATAAATTTACTGGTAATTTCAATAATAGATTAACCATTTCACTTAGATTGCTTAGTAAATTCATTCGGTTGCTGCCAATACTGCTAAACTGTTTAGTCTTTAACCCTGTGAAGTTAGTATTTGTATTTGTTTTGTCTTTTGGTTGAAGTAATGCAATTCATTCAAGTTTCAATTTGTAGAAGACTATTTGAAACTTAAATTCGCAATACGAAAATGAAAATCGCAACGCGATTTTAGTTTCGCGTTGCGATTTTAAGTTTCAGAAACTATTCTTCCTCTGCAAATTGAAACTTGAATGAATTGCATTACTTCAACCAAAAAACAAAGACAAATATTAACTTCACAGTGTTGCGAATTTAAGTTTCAAGAATAAACTACTACTCTTTATGTTGTCCTTGAACCTGCACTAAACCTATATAATGTCCTTTTAAATGTTTATATAAGTGCTTACTTCTGTAATGTTATCCAATGCATTTTGTGAACTATGATAGAATAATGAATTGGGTGAATACCGTGCAAGTTTGAAACATATTTGACTTTGTTTTTAGTGTTTAATATCATGTCTGTTTATAGTGTATAATTTGTAGTTTTTGATATATCTAACTTGGTATGTTTATTATTTTTGTAGAAATTTTTTTCGGCTTCATTGACCTTAAGGATTGAATTAAGCATTGACACTTGTACAAAGAAAATTGTTTGAGGATACTTGCTTCGGGCCATGGCTGAAAGTACAACATCCAGGTGGAGATGCTATGTTGACCCATTTGTTTCTTCAGACCATGACTAACGATCTACCCGAGAGGATACAATGTGGTGATGAAGAGATATGGTTTCATTTTCCTCCGGAGTATACTTGTTTTGGGCGGGAGGAATTTTGCTTAATCACTGGTCTACGCTTCGGACACGATGAAGTAGGTCGATACACTAGTCATATCGCCCTCCCATCATGGTTATCTCGGGTTTTTCCTGAGGTGGCAAAGGCGAAGCCGAGTTTACACGTCGACGACTTGAAAATATTACTTGTTAAAGATGATTTTACTCGGATGGATGACCTCGATGTTATTCGAGTTTACCTTTTATTACTTTTGTATACCGTCTTTTTAGGCAAAGATGCCAGACAACCTATTTCTGAGGACCTAATATTATTGGCAGATGACCTAATATTATTGGTAGATGACCTAATATTATTGGTAGAGGACCTAAATGCATGAAACATGTTTTCGTGGGGTTCATATCTATGAAACATGTTTTGTTGATGTCTTTAATATCAACAATGCTCCAAACAATTACCTGCTTATGCTGTTTCATAACAATAATCAACTTAGCTTACTGTGTTACTATAAGCTTTGCTGCAATAATGAATAGAAAAGTAGCATTGCCCCCAAGATAGGCATACTTCATATGCTCAAGAAAAATCTTTAATTCCAAAGTTGATGGCTCTATATTCAAAGTTTTTAGAGCTTGAATAGGACTGTCATGGAATTCTAATGATTCAAAATGATGCATATAATTTCCCTCAGCTCCCTCATCCTCTGTTATCCCCTTAATAGATGATATAGTGGTGGTAATATTATTGATGTTGTAGCATTCATTCCAATGCTCATGAGTGAACACATCAATAACATCAATAAAAAACACTCAGCGTTGTTATCAACATATGAGACATTATTTAAAACATTAAAAGTAATGTGTCATCATTCAAACACGTAGTAAATTCCCCTTTTTCCACATAGACCAATACCCGACCGGTTGCAAGGAATGGGCGGCCAAGAATAATGGGAACTTCTTTGTCTGCTAAGCAATCCAAAGTAATGAAAACGGTGGGAAAAATGAATTTATCCTCTCTCACAAGCATGTTTTCATTGATGCGGCTAGAATGCATATTAGATCTATCATCAAGTTGCAAGGTGACTGTGGTAGATATTTCTTCACCACTACCAAACTTTCTAAAAAATGACAGTGACTTTAGATTAATGCTAGGACCCAAATCAAATAAAGCTTTACCTAAAAATTGATCACCAATAATTTAAGGAATAGTGAAACTCCTTGGATCTTTAAGTTTGGGTGGTAATCGACTTGTAGCCATAAGACTACATCCCTTGGTAAGAGCAACAATCTCGAATTATCAGCATTCTCTTCTTGGAAAATGACTTCTTGCATAAACTTGATGTAGTTTAGATTTTGTTCTAATTGCCTCATTCAACGGAATGTTGATTATCAATTATCTAAGAACATCAATGAAGGCTCTATATTGTTGGTCCTCTTTTTTCTTCTTGAAACGTTGAGGAAATGATGGAGGCATCCTTAGTTATGGTTGCTACAACATTGGTGCTGACGAGGCAACTAACAATGTGGTAGGCATTGTTACTAGTAATGGTTCATGATTACTACACTGTACTGCGTCTCTTATTTTGGCATTAGCCATAGGCGTCTCAAGGTTGACTTCCTTGTTATTTTCCTTGTCATGCTTTGTATCTTCTTCATCATTTTTCTTGGGCTCCTCAATAGGCTTCTCAATATGTATACCACTTCGAGTAGTAATGGCTTCGCAATGCTCATTACATTAATATTTTCCTTGTTGCTTGGGGTTTTAGGATCGTTGGGCAATGTTCCTTGCAATCTATTGCTCAAAGTATTCTCCATTTGGCCCACTTGATTTTCTAAAGCCTTTAGTGAAGCTGATTGACTTTCCATGTACTCTTTTATCAAGGCTTCGAGAGATGATATATTAGTAATTTGTGTTGAATATTGGCCTTGATAGTTTTTCCTTTGCTGTGGTTGTGTAGCCTGATGCTGTACTTGAGGCTGCGACATCACTTGCTACTGATTCTACTACTGCGTTTTATTGTAATACTATGGTTGAGGATTGGCAACATTATGGCTTCTTCAAGACAAATTAGGATGATTTTGAAAGTTGACATTATAAGTGTTGCCATAAGAATTGTCAATCATATTGTAATTTCTCACATAGAATTTGAACTCGTGGTTTTGAGGGAATTCTTTAAAATTGTGTTTATCTCCACAATAAATACAAGAAAGACTTGATGTAACTTTTGCCTCATAGATTCCCCCTAGTTTTTGTAGTTTCTTGACCATATCCTTTAGTGCTAAAATTTGGGAAGCCATAGAATTGAAAGCATCCAAATCCACTACTGTAGCATTGCATCTTCCAAACATGTTTCTCGTATTTGGGTATTGGTAGTCATTGTTCGATATCCTCTCTAAAATATCATAGGCTTCATTATATGTTTTTTCAACAAAGCTCCATTTGCTAAAGTGCCTACCACCATACGAGTGTGCATGTTTAACCCATTATAGAACATCTCCATTTGTGTCCAATGCGGGAATCCATGCATTGGACACTTGCGTAATAAGTCCTTAAGTCTTTCCCATGCCTCGTACAAGCTTTCATCTTCCAACTAATTGAATGAAGTGAGGTCATTTCGAAGTTTGTCATTCATGTTTGGAGGGTTGAATCGTAGTAAGAACTTTTGTGCTAGCTCATTCTAGGATGCTACAGCACCGACTGGCAGCGATGTCAACCAAGCTCTAGTTTTATCGCGCTATAAGCAAGGAAAAAAACTTCAGGTTTAACACTTCTTCAGGAACACCTTGTTGAACAAATAAATTACAAACTTCCAGAAACGCTATGAAGTGCGCACGAGGATTTTTGGTAATTAACCCACCATATTGCCCCATTGATTGCAACATTTGAAACTTAATCGGCTTCAGCTCAAAATTAGCAACATGAATTTTCGGTCGCACAATGCTTAGATGTATATCGTCAAGTGTTGTTACTATATGTTCTTGAATGAGTCAGTTGTGATCATCCATATTGTAGAATTGTTGTGACCCAACTCCATTGCCAGCCAACAATTCAGCATCATCTCCTTGCTATAGCGGAGGTAGAGTATTATGTTCTTGCTAGCCATAAATTCTTGATATCTAGCAGCTTCTCTTTAGCGTCTTCAAAATGTTCATTCTATATTTGCATCTTAAGGTTTTAACTCGTCGTCACCACTTAACATAAACCAATGAAATTAGAAAAGTTAAGTACCTACAAAAAGAAATAAACAAAAAAGTAAACAATAAAATAAAACTCTAAAGTAAAACCAATGCTCCCTGGTAATGTCGCCAAAAACTTGATGTTGTTTTATTCCTTAGTTGAGTATTTATATTCGGTGCGTTATACCGCAATAAGAAACTCATGCAAAGATCAGCCCATGATTCCATTGAATAAGATGGAACACCACTCAACCAAGCCCTTGCTCGGTCACACAAAGAATATGACAACAACTTTAATTTTAGAACATCCTCGTGCAGTCCTTCTTGGTGAAAAGAATCACAAACCTCTAAAAAAATACGAATATGTTGCCTAGCATCTTCAGTTGTCATGCCTCGAAACTTCCCTATAGAATTCAACATATTAAATATAATTAGTTTAAGCTCAAAATGTGCAGTTTGAATTTTGGGTGCCACAATTCCAGGATTAAAGTCATCTAGCATCGGATTTAAATGATCACAAATAACACGAGGCCTATCAGCAGGTCCAATATTTTGTAATGCCTCTACATTCGGAATAAACAAATAAGTAAACAATAAAATAAAACTCTAAAGTAAAACCAATAATCCCTGGCAATGTCACCAAAAAGTTGATGTTGTGTTATTCCTTAGTTGAGTAATTATGTTCGGTGCGTTATACCGCAATAAGAAACTCTTGCAAAGATCAACCCATGATTCCATTGAACCGGATGGAACACAACTCAACCAAGCCCTTCTTCAGTCACACAAAGAATATGACAACAACTTTAATTTCATAACATCATCGTGCACTCATTCTTGGAGAAAAGAATCATAAACCTCTAAAAAATTACGAATATGCTACCTAGCATCTTCAGTTGGCATGCCTCCAATCTTCTATATAGAATTCAACATATTAAACATTACTAGTTTAAGCTCAAAATGTACAGTTTGAATTTCGGGTGCCACTATTCCAGGATTAAAATCATCTAGCATCGGATTTAAATGATCACGAATAACATGAGGCCTATTAGCATGTCTAACATTTTGTAATGCCTTGACATTCAGAATTCTGTCATCTTGACCAATGCCTTGATTTCTAATTTGATACATATTTCCTCGAGCACGTTGAGCACATCTTCTTTGTCTAAAGAGTCTTTCAATCGTAGGTTTTATTGGTTTCAATGGCTCTTTAGAATGTCTTCTAGCCATACACTAAATGAACCTAAACAAAAATAAAGCAAAAATATCATGTAAACTATACAAAAATAAAGATGCAAAAATAAAATGATTTGGCAAAAACTAATTAACTTCACGCTGTCAATCCCCGTCAACAGCGCCAAAAACTTGTTGCTATTGTGAGTACTATAAAAGTATACACAAATAATGTGCAAGTATACACAATCGCTCAAGTAATAAAGTGACGAGAGAGTATCGTCTCCACAGGGATTGGTGGAAATTACAAAGTTTAACCAAAGAAAAGAACTATTGTATCTAAGTATAGTTAGTGTTGATATGAACTAATGGAGAATGTCACGGCAATGGAAAGTGTATGTTGGTGGATATGGATTGATAGTCTGATGGGGTAGCAAATAGAAATGTAGTAGCAAGAGCATATTATAATGTTCAAAATGAGAGAAATGTCAAGGCAATGAAAAACAATAATAAATAAATAATAGTTTGATAATCCTCACACAACAAGCTTCCATGGGAGTGAATGGTAAGGATTGATTTAAGGATGCTAAAACATACCCCTCAAACAGATTTAATCTATTTAAACTTCACTAGCTCAATAGGGTTTGGTGAAAATGCTCCTTCTAACTCTAGTAAAAGGATCCTAATAGAATATAATGCCACGTCATCTCCTCTTAGTCTCAACTATGGTAACCTACACTATTGATAAAAACTACCCCTCTTAGTCGTTGAAATCCTATCTTAGTCTCTCTCAAGCACTAAGGGATTAGGATACAATACTACTAGACTGATTCAAAGCTTAAGAAAATACTAAACCCCATTGCTTATGTGGATCTTACTTGTGTTTCGAATATTACAATTATTAATAGCTAAGTTTCTCTCAAACATATAGCCTTTATCTAAATAATGGACACTCTCATGCCTCTTACAAACTTAAACGATGAAGCATTAATAGGCAAAACAAGTAAATACAAAAGATAAATGTAAATCTACCATTAAAATAATGTTAAACATCCATAAAATCAACCTTACCAAATAAGTTTAGTTCATGGTACGGTTTGAATCATCCATGAAACAAAACATGAAATTTATTCGTTCAACAACCCAATATCAAATGGAAAAATAGCAGCAAAGGGGAAGGTAGAAGAAGCCTTCAACGCATGCAATCGGAGCTTTCCTCAACCACCACGACTCACCTCAGCTCGCTAGCTCATCTCAGACGCCTAGCTCATCACTCCTTGGAGCTCGTTAATGGGGGAACACCACTAGAGAATGAAAATAAGGATACAAAGAATAAGGTAAGAAAATCTAGCTGAAGGTGATTGATTCTCCTCCTCCCTTTTCTCTCTCATGTGTGGTGTATATAATGATGTAATATCTAAGGGTAATAATGGGATTTAACTTTCCAATTACTCGTCATACCCTTAAAATCACTCCTTAGGCATGAATCTTATCCTCCCAGGTGGGAGTGGTCCCCAGCAGGCGGTTATAACTATCAGATAGTTTCCTTGCCAGCTATCCCATTACAAAAATATCTTTTTGTCCTTATCTGCACCAGAAATTTCAATGCATTTCAATATGCTTCAGCAACGTATGATGTCATGACATTCCTTCCCAGTGCAACCTTTTACTTGCTATTTCCTACAAAACATAAACAACTGCATCTTTCCTTCACATATCATCTTTACAAGATAAAATAGCAATACCACCACCAATGCAACTATATGCAACTACATGATCCTAAAATGACTAAAATAAGCTTTTAAACAAACAATAACTTAAGTGAAAAAGACTTAAAAGTAGCCTTTTTAGGAAGTTATCACACCCCCAAACTTAAGTTATTACTTGTCCTCAAGCAATGGATAGAAATTAACACAATCAAAATGTCATGGCAATTTTCAACAATAAGACATCAAGACAAAAATTGAATTTCAACCCTCAGAAAAATTAGCTTCAACATGCTAGACATATCAAGAATTCAAGTACTTTTTCATAGGTAAAGAGTCTTTGTTGTAGTGTGTGTGCGTGATTGTATCCAATCTATACTTAAATTTTTTTAAAAATTTCTAATCAAGTCCCCTAATTTTGCCACAACATTTACTCATCCATTAAGCACATTTATACTTCCTTTCCACTTACTACATAATTTTTTTTACAATAATGCTGCTACGAAGGGAGTCAGCTCATCATACCTACCTTCCCACACTCTAGGTGAAAGAGGGCATACCTTCCACCCCCAAGCTAGTTAAGTAGAGTCATCACGTGACTACTTTCATTCACTCATATACGCATGACTGTCATTTATTAAATAGAGTACCAGGCTATGCCATGGAAAAGGGAAGTGTCCCTATATAGCTATGCCCAAGCATTTATTCACAATCTCAGATGTAAGGGAGTTATTTTTTATTTATCTTTCAAACACAATACTAAATTTCGATTCCAAGACTAACTAGAGTTCCTTCATAAAATTTTTCTAAAATTCCTAAGTATAAAGAACATACAAATCATGTAAGAATAATTTATAAAGCACCGAGCCCTAGAGTCAATTCTATCATTCTCAATAGTCATTTATATTAAATTTGTAGCTTAACAAGTTCATCATCATCAAGTATCATTAAGACATTTTATCAAATTATCCTAAAAATTTCTGATGCCATGGCATAATGTTATGGTAATACTATCATGCACATGTTCTACAAGGAACACTACCTCCCCCAAATTTAAGGGAAGCATTGTCCTCAATGCTTATAGATAATTGAAAGAAATAAAACTATATGTCATGCAATGAAATGAAAATTGAATGCAAATATATGACAATGGAGGTACCTCATGTTTTCTGTGGATGTGTTGTCGTGGAGGTGTTAGCAGCTCCTCGTCTTTTACGCTTACGAAGTGGTGCAGGACTGGAATATGAAGATGTAGAATAGTAATAAGAGATATTGATGCTCCCAACCGATATCTTTGTACGCCGGCAGCTGTGTACTAGACTGGGGTTTTGTCAGTTGGAATAACAGGTGAGTCCAGGGTCTGGGATCTTTGAGGGTCTTGAGTCAGTTCATCAACAAGAGGATTGATGTCATCTAGTTCTACATATGCCTCGACATTGGATGCCGACAAAAATTTATCCGGAAAACCTTGTAAATTTTGTTGCACGTGGGGGAAGTATTTCTTGAAACATATTTTCAACCACATCATCTATGCGTTTCACATAACCAAAGAAATTTTTTATATCACCGTG